CCATGTTGACCAGGATGGTCTCGATCTCTTGACCTCGTGATCCACCCGCCTCGGCCTCCCAAAGTGCTGGGATTACAGGCTTGAGCCACCGGACAGATTCTTATTCTGTTGCCCACACTGGAGTGCAGTGGTATTATCTTAGCTCACTGCAACCTTTACCACCCAGGCTGAAGTGATTCTCATGCCTCAGCCTCCTAAGTAGCAGGAATTACAAGTGTGTGCCACCACACCCAGCTAATTTTTGTATTTTTAGTAGAGATGGGGTTTTGCCTTATTGGCCAGGCTGGTCTTAAACTCCTGGTCTCAAGTGATCTGCCCACCTCAGCCTCCCAAAGTTGTGGGACTGTAGACATGAGACACCATGTCCCAGCCCCAAGGAGGTATTTAAAAAGTCATTTTTGGCCAGGCATGGTGGCTCACGCCTAAAATCCCAGTGCTTTGGGAGGCCGAGGCAGGTGGATCACCTGAGGTCGGGAGCTCGAGACCAGCCTGACCAACATGGAGAAACCCCGTCTCTGAAAATACAAAATTAGCCGAGCATGATGGCGCATGCCTGTAATCCCAGCTACTTGGGAGGCTGAGGCAGGACAATGGCTTGAACCTAGGAGGCAGAGGTTGTGGCGAGCTGAGATAGCGCCATTGCACTCCAGCCTGGGCAACAAGAGTGAAACTCCATCTCAAAAAAAAAAAAAGTCATTTTCGATAAGAAAATGTGGAACATTATTTCAGTCTTTTAGGTGTCTTGAACAAAGTCTGCCTAATCATCTAGACCGGGAGATAATTACCTTCTTAACCTCTATTTTAACAAACATTTTTCATCTTGAAATGAAATATTCTTTTAGATACCAAAATGAGCTAAAATTGAGTGGTTACTATTAAAGCTGCAAAATTATTTGGGAGGCTGAGGCAGGAGGATCACTTGAGCTCAGGAGTTCAGTACCAGCCTGGGCAACAGTGAAACTTTGTCTCTACTAAAAATTTAAAAAAATATGTTAGCCAGGATTGGTAGCATGCACTTGTGGTCCCAGCTGCGTAGGAGGCTGAGGCAAGAGGATTGTTTGGCCCCAGAAGATAGAGGTTGCAGTGAGCTGTGATCATGCCACTGCACTCCAGCCTGGCGACAAGGTGAGAAACCTGTCTCAAATAAAACAGAACAAAACAAAAAAAAACCTGCAAAATTATTAAAATAGGTTAAAATTCAAAAGCGGTTTTAATTCATAACATCTAAACCAATTGTAAATCTTGAGAAGATGCAGTGATACCTACAAAGTGCTTCAGAGCATGTTCTCTGGAGCAGTGCTCTTAGTCAGAGTCTTTATTTTTGCTGCCTAGCCATTTATCCTACTTGTTTCATTTAATGTGTAGGGATGTATTATTTGGGTTAGATTTTCCTGCAGCTAGGTCACCATTGGATGTGTTTCTCCACTCTGATCACAGATTTTCCTCCTTCGTGTTAGGAAGAATAAGATGTTTGAGGTACACAAATTGAGCACATGCAGACCTTGTAGGAATGTTGCCAATTTTTATGTTTTTGTTCGGAGATGGGAAATAATAAGATAAATTTTAAAAAGGAATATAATCAACCAGGCACAGTGGTTCACACCTGTAATCTCAGCACTTTGGGAGGTCAAGATAGGTGGATCATTTGAGGTCATGGGTTTGAGACCAGCCTGGCCAACATGGTGAAACCCTGTGTCTACTAAAAATACAAATAAAATTAACCAGGCATGGTAGTGTGTACCTGTAGTCCCAGCTACTTAAGAGGCTGAGGCAGAAGGATCACTTAAGCCAAGGAGGCAGAGGTTGCACTCTAGCCTGGGTGACAGAGCCACGTTCTGTCTCAAAAAAAAAAGAATATTTAATTTAAAAGAGGAATATAGGCCAGGCGTGGTGGCTCACGCCTGTAATCCCAACACTTTGGGAGGCTGAGGTGGATGGATTGCTAGGTCAGCAGTTTGAGACCAGCCTGGCCAATATGTTGAAACCCCGTCTCTACTAAGGATACAAAAATTAGCTGGGCGTGGTGGCGTGCACCTGTAGTCCCAGCTACTTGAGAGGCTGAAGCAGAAGAATTGCTTGAACCCAGGAGGTGGAAGTTGTAGTGAGCTGAGATTGTGCCACTGCACTCCAGCCTGGGAGACAGAGCAGGCTCCATCTCAAAAAAAAAAAAAAAAGGAATATAACCAATTTGAAATTGTTTCTTTTTACTCAGGCTTTTGTATTTGAGAATTCATAATAGGGCAAGATGCACACACCAGGTTGTTCTTCACCTTGTTCTGATTAAATTGTTTAATTAAAGGTTTCTTTTTGGGTAGAAGAGGACAAGGAGTGTATTAGTTCTCTAATCAAAACCTTTACATTTTAGCTCTGAGGTTTTCATTAAAAAATATTAAAGTATTGTCAGCCCTCTAGTCCTCCTCCTCAAGGACTGCAAAGCAAATGTAGTATTGTCAAGACTTTTGAGCATTGTTGATACTTGTCTTACAGCATTCCTGGCCCAGCTCTTTATGGACACAGGTTATGAAGAAGTGGTAAACGAGTATGTGTTTCGAGAGACGGTGAATAAAAAAGAAGGCCTGTGTGTGCCGAGAGTTTTCCTTCAGAGCAAATTTCAAAAGCCTCCTAAGAACCCATCTCCTGTGATCCTGGGCCTGGATCGTAAGTCCTGACCTTTCATGAGGATGGCATTCATACCTCCCCTTGAAGAGGAAATTTAAAATTACTGTTTTGGCCGGGCACGGTGGCTCATGCCTGTAATCCCAGCACTTTGGGAGGCCGAGGTGGGGGGATCACCTGAGGCCAGGAGTTCGAGACCAACCTAGCCAACATGTTGAAACCCCATCTGTACTAAAAATACAAAAAAATTAGCCGGGCACGGTGGCGGGTGTGTGTAATCCCAGCTACTTGGGAGGCTGAGGCAGGAGAGTCGCTTGAAGCTGAGAGGCGGAGGTTGCATTGAGCCGAGATCATGCCACTGCACTCAGCCTGGGCAACAGAGTGAGACCCTGTTTCATAAATAAATAAATAAATAAATAAAATTACTCTTTTTACTTTATATATTTTTTGAGACAGGATCTTGTGGTGTTCAGGCTGGAGTGCAATGGTGTGATTGCAGCTCATTGTAGCCTTGACCTCCCTGGGCTCTAGTAATCCTCCTGTCTCAGGCTCCTGAGTAGTTAGGACTACAGGTGTCGGCCACCATGCCTGGCCCTTAATTTTTTTTAATGAGTAGGTGTGGTAGTCCACCTTTATCCATGGTTTCACGTAACACAGTTTCAATTACCTGTTTTCAACAGCAGTCAGTTACTTAGATATTTTGAGGTAAGTTATAGGCTCATGACTATAACCCCAGCATTTTGGGAGGCTGAGGCCAGGAGAACGCCCAGGCGTTCAAGACCAGTGTGGGCAACATGGTGAAACCCTGTCTCTATAGAAAATACAAAAATTAGCCAGACATGGTGGCATGTGGCTGTAGTCCCAGCTGGGGTGGGAGGATGGCTTGAGCCTGGAAGGTGGAGGTTGCAGTAAGTCGAGATCATGCTATTGCACTGCAGCCTGGGCAACAAAGCGAGAATGTGTCTCAAAAAAAAAAAAAGATATTTTGAAGGAGATATCACATTCACATAGCTTTATTACAGTATATTGTTAAAATTGTTCTTTTGTTAGGATTTGGTGCCATCTGTGATTTCAGGCCACCACTGGGGGTTTTGAAACATATCTCCCACAGATAAGGGGGAACTACTATGTACTTTTTGTATTAAAGAATAGGAAGTGTATGTGTGTGTGTTAAGGACCTGTAAATAAAACTTCAAGGCCTGAAAAGTAATGAAAGTTTTATAGAATGACATAATTTAGCCATGTCGTTCACTGTAAAATTCCACAAAGAAAAGCCTAAGGAGTCCGTAGTACGTAGAGATCCGTGTCATTACTCATGTGACTCTGTGAGTGTTCCCCTCCTCCAGGCAGCATGTCAAACGGACAGTGTGGAGAAAAATGAGGCCAAGTAGACTAAAATAAGATACTCATACATATTTTTAGCCTAAAGGATTGTTCTCTCTTCTTTTTCCAGTGTCATATTTGCCCATTGGTCTCTACTTTAGTTCATTTATATATTTCTCAAAACCAGTTTTCCACAAATACCACTTTTGCTCTGTCTGTGCTCAAGAACTCTCCATGGCTCCCTGCCTGATTGTTGAGACCCCCTATCATTGGGCCAGTTCCTTGCCACACTGTTTGCCCTGGGAGAGAGAGGGGATGGCTACCACCTGTCCTCCCCTCTGCTCCATTTGTCCAGTGCTGCTTCTCTAAGATGGCTGGTGTCTAGTTTAGAGTTAGAATTTCAGAGTTGAGAGGGGCGTTAGAATGGACTGTTCCAGCTCCCTCTTGGTAAATGAGGAAGCAGTAGCAAAAGGTAAATGATGAGCCCAAAGCCGTGTAGCTAGTGTTGTGGAATATGGGAAAATCCCTAAGTTGGTCTACTGACCTGCTTCCCAATCATTGCCTTATAATGACTTTTCCTCTGTGAAGTAAAATCCAAGTTCTTTTGTCCTGCTCACAAGAGTTAAGCCTGTAAACCTTTCTGTTTGCCTTTCTGTAGAAAGCTGTTTGTGAGAACACCGTCTTGAGTACGTAACTGGACTGTGTGCAGCAGGCCTGGGCCCTTCAACTCCAACCACGTCTGGAGGATGGGTTCCAGATTGAAGGGTTTGATAATAGTCATAGTTACTGTACAATCAGAATAAATCCCCCTGGCTCCTGAAGAGAAGAGGGACAGGCAGCAGGGCTCAGACTGTGCTTGCTGGGCTTTGTGATTCTGCCATCAGTCCTCAACTTCTTGGAAGGCGCTGATAGAACTTATAAAGAAAGAGGACCTAAAGGGGTCCTCACTGGCCTTCTCACAGTGAGAGTCCAGCCCTGCCCAAAAGCAGCCTCAAGGTCCCTGCTTTCAGTCCAGTGCTCTCTCCCAAAGCCCCATCCACCAAGTGAACCCCACTTCAGCTTCAGCTCCAGATGCTATCCCCTCCACAGTAGTCCTTTCACTTGTGTCTCTGCTAAGTCTGGTCAATGTTTCTTGGATTTTAGTGGCTAGCTGGATAAAGACAGGCCATTTAAAGTAGAAAAGTGGGAGCTTGGGTGATGTAGCAAGACCCCATCTCTATGGAAAAAAAAAAAAAAAAAAAAAAAAAAAAGAAAATTAGCCAGGTGTAGTGGTGTACTCCTGTAGTCCCAGCTACTCAGGAGACTGAGGTTAAAGGATTGCATGAGCTTAGGAGTTAGAGGCTGCAGCAATGGAGTGAGCCATTATCACTCCACTGTATTACAGCCTGGGTGCAGAGCGAGACCCTGTCTCCAATTAAAAAAAAAAAAGGAGCAAGGAGCAATATAGTATAGTGTAGTGTAGCGTAGCGTAGCGTAGTGTGTAGTGTAGTATAGTAGGATAAGCCTGTGCTTTTGTTATCAGAAGTTACTTGGAATTTTGGCCTCATTCCTTAACCTGTTTGAACCTCACATTCCTCGTTTTTATAATGGGGATAACTACTAACTCAAAAGTGTTCAGAGGATTAAAGGAAGTACATATATATGGCACATAAGTATCATTTCCCTCAATCTTCATTTTTTGAGCATAAAAGTTATACATACGGAAAAGTGTACAAATCATAAATATTTAACTCACTGACATCACAAAGTGAGCACACCTGTGTGATGCGTCCAGTGTGACTGGCACCCCAGAAACCTCCCCATCTCTGTGTCTCATTCCAGTCACTGTCCCCGCAAGGATGTCCTCTATTCTGAAGGCTAACAACAGAAAGTAGTTTTTCTTCTATTTAAAATTCTCCCACAAAGAGTTCAAGGACAACTTACAAAAATACAAAAATTACATGATTTTAAGTAAGGAAACTGGGCTAAAGGAAAAAATAAGTTGAGCCCAGGAAAGTAACCTTATCCACACACACTGCATTACAGGAGGTCTTATAAACTTAAGGATAAATAACCAATTTTGCTTCCTAGTAGTCAGTGTAAAGAGGGAAACAAGATCAAGTCCAGGCTCCATGCGATAAACCTGAGGCTGCTACACCTAATCTGGAGACCTAAGGAACCTTTCCCTCTAGTTCCCATAAAGAGAACACTATAACATAGCAAACTTAACAGCTTTACCGATAATAAACACAAGTATCAAAGCATTGTTTCTGATAATGTTGCATAACATAGATATCCCTAAAGGACTAATCAAATACTTTGTAGCTAGAGAGGACTGAAATGAGATGGTCTAGGTGGGTTTTAGAATTTCTAGTAGACTTAACAGGCTGTTGGTCCTTTTGGCAGTCTTCTATCAATAGTGTTCTCAGTGGAGGGTTTGATGTGAATCTAAGAACCAGGAGGTCTAGGTTCTTCTCCCTTAGAAGGGCAGGTATTGGGCAGACCGTCTGGCCAAGAGATGAGTAGGAATGACTTCAGAGAAAGCAAAACAGGTTGATGAAGCCCTCTTCCTTTGCCAGTGCTGGCTGGGGGTACACCTGTGAATGGGGCCAGCGGTTTCCTCCAAACACAACTTGGAGTTGTCTCTACCCACAGGAGTAGTTATGGCCCCAGATTCTAATCCCATAAAGCCAGGCTGCAGAAGTTTTCATTTAGAATATTTAAAGCTGAAGCTGGATGTGGTGGCTCATGCCTGTAATCCTAGCACTTTGGGAGGCCGAGGTGGGTGGATCACCTGAGGTTAGGAGTTCGAGACCAGCTTGCCCAACATGGCAGGAGAATCGCCTGAACCTGGGAGGTGGTAGTCGCACCGAGCCAAAATTGTGCCATTGCACTCCAGCCTGGGTGACAGAGTGAGATTTTGTTTAAAAAAAAAAAATTATAACAAGATTTTTTTTTCATGGGTGGGCCAGGATTGGAAGTGGGCCCACTCAGGCAGCTGACAACTTTAAGATATGTTGATTGTAAAATGTACTTCTTGTTAAATTAATGAGGTGACGCAGTCCTTCAGTATTTTAACTATGAGACAGTAGATTGGTTCACAAGCATTTTAAAGGCCAAACATAAAAATGACTTCGGTCTCACTGCCTCTATGTCGTTTTGTTCATTCTCCCTGGGCACATTTCCATCAGTGCACCCCAAATTAAGACAACAGAGGATCAGGTTCTCCCACTGTTTGGGTGCTTAGGGCCCAGGAAAGCAAGACCATGGTGGGTTTAGTAGCAAAACTCTGTGGAATCATAAAGACCACAAAGAGTCAACCAGTATTGCCCTGTCTTCACAGACAGAAAACAGCCCCCAGAAATGAGGTGAATACGGGCTAAAAGTACTATAAAAAATAATAGAAATACTATATTATATTAAAATATCCTATATAGCACTAAATGTTTCTTTTGAACTTTTCACATATATTAATACATATAGTATAGTGAGATATATATATATATATTCCATACAATAGTACTAATACAATTTTATTACAGGATTTGGAATATGAATAAATGGGTTCAAGTGCAAAACTTGCCCAGTACAAACTACCAACTTCTTTGAACTTCAGACTTCACATGTCTAAGACTGAGATCTTAGTACCTCGTACCTGTCAGGGCTGCTGCCAGGATTAAATGAGATAATTCAGATGGGAGTGCTTGGTTTACTATAAAGTACCAGTCAAGTGCTAGTTATTTCTATTATTTTATATTTCTCCAGAAAGTATGTTGTTACATCGAAATGGTGGAGCCCCTCACGAACCAACTCTTTTTCAAGAAGGTTTAATCTCGGGGTCCTTTCAAGGGCTCAGGATTTGCATGTAGCACCACAAGGTGGTGCTAGACACTAAATGTTCTTATTGGCCTTCTACTCCCATCTTAATTAGTTACATAGTGTCCATTTTTTATTGTTATTATGGAGTATGGAAAATATTTGTTAAAAATGTGTTTTCTAGATCAACTTATGAACTCATAAGATCAATCCCATCTTAATTAGTTATATAGTGTCCATTTTAATTGTCACTGAAGAGCATGGAAATATTTATTGCAAATGTGCTTTCTAGATCAGCTTGTGAGTTCATAAGATCAATTTTGGCCTCACTGGCGATTATAAAGAAGGGTGCTTTTGGCCTTCTCTTCCTGGTTCTTCCTGGAGTCAGAAAAGCTGGGTTGATAGGGCGAAAAAGAAAAAAAGAAAGAAAGAAGGGTGCTTTTACCCAACGTTCAGTCTGCTTTACCTACTGAAAGTGTTTGCTTTCAGTTAAATCTGGGAAGCATTTTAAGGCAATGTCTGTGATGGGCTTGAAAGATGTCTGCAAGACCCCCCACACACTGGGGAGCATGAATACGTGCTGGACACCAATCAGGGTCCTAATTTTTTCCTGTGAGTAAATACCCCATTGCACTTCCTATTCCCAAATGGTTTTGTGGATTTGCTTTTACTGTTGTTTGGAATGAAAGCCAAAGCAAAGAAGGGACTGCAGCCCAGATAATTGTCTGCCTCACACAAATATTATTTATAGCTATCTTTGATAGCATTTGGTTCTCTATTTCACAGTTGTCAACTAAGGAAGAGAAAATTGGGAAGTAAGTAAACCGAGACTGATTTTCAGGGTCATGTTCTCTATTGGGAAGCAGACATTTCTCACAAATTTAAATAAGTTCTGCAACTGAAACCAAATGCTTTATTAAAAATAAAATAAGTAGAACACAGTAGCACATGCCTGTAGTCCCAGCTACTTAGGAGGCTGAGGCAGGAGAATCACTGGAGGCCAGGTGTTCAAGGCTACAGTGCACTATGATCTCACCTGTGAATAAACCAGCCACTGCATTTCAGCCTAAGCAACATAGCAGGACCTTGTCTTTAAAAATATAAAAATTTTAAAAGAAGGGCCGGGCACTGTGGTTAACGCCTGTATTCTCAGCACTTTGGGAGGCTGAGGCAGTGGATCACCAGGAGTTTGAGACCAGCCTGACCAACATGGTGAAACCCTGTCTCTACTAAAAATACAAAAAAAAAAAAAAAAAAATTAGCCGGGCTTGGTGGTATGCATCTGTAATCCCAGGTGCTCGGGAGGCTGAGGCAGGTGAATCACTTGAACCTGGGAGGCGGAGGTTGCAGTGAGCTGAGATTGTGTCACCACACTCCAGCCTGGGTGACAAGGGTAAAACTCTGTCTCAAAAAATAAAATAAAATAATAGATGTTTTTCACTTTTCCTTCCTATCCTTCTCAAATGTGTGATATTTCATTAAATAGTGTTCAATAGGTACCAGCTGGGTTCAGGGCACTCTGGGGTCACTCTGGCTGGAGTGCAGGGTTGGGATGAGGGGATAGTGTGGTATCAGAGGCATTTGAACCACAGCAACTCCATTTTGAATAGGGGCTGAGTGAAATGAGGCTGAGACCTGCTGGGCTGCATTCCCAGGAGGTTAAGGCATTCTTAGACACAGGATGAGATAGGAGGTCAGCATAAGATATAGGTCATAAAGACCTTGCTTATAAAACAGGTTGTAATAAGGAAGCCAGATAAATTCCAGCAAAACCAAGATAACGACAAGAGTGACCTCTCGTCATCCTCACTGCTACACTCCCACTGGCGCCATGACAGTTTACAAATGCTATGGCAATGTCAGCAAGTTGCCCTATATGGTCTAAAAAGGGGAGGCCTGAATAATCCACCCCTTGTTTAGCATATCATCAAGAAATAACCATAAAAATGGGTAACCAGCCGCCCTCCGGGCTGTTCTGTGGCGTAACCATTTTTTATTCCTTTACCTTCCTAATAAACTTGCTTTCACTTTATGGACTGAATTATTGTGGTAGATCCAAGAACCCTCTCTTGAAGTCTGCATTGGGACCCCTTCCCAGTAACATGCGCATGTGCAGGAAGGTGGAGAAACAGCTCCAGTCATATGTTCACCCAGCCAGAGTAAGATATAGTAGGAAACCAAATACAAACAGAAAACCAGCAGAAGAAAAAAGAGGAAGAACAGCTGTGGAAAACATGAGTGCCATAACTGCCATTGTCATTTGGAAAGAATATTTCCACATTTTCACAGTAGAGGCGTTGTTACATTCCCTGGTCTGGGGCATGGCCATGGAGATGAGAACATTACACATAGCTCCTTGGAGCATGCTGCCAAACATGTCTAGATCTATAAGGAAAATACCAGGATTGGCAAAATGAGACAATTCCTGAAGTAAACTGCTAGCAAAGTGGGCAAAATGGTCAATTCTAAATAGAAATAATTATAAATTAAACGAGGCCAGGCACGTTGGCTCATACCTTTAATCCCTGCCCTTTGGGAGGCTGAGGACATGAAAATCGCTTGAGACCAGGAGTTGGGAGAGCAGTGATCCTCCTGCCTCAGACTCCCAAGTAACTGGGATTACAGGCATGTGCC